GAGACACAAGATTTATACTGGTTCGGTCTAAACCACGTGACCTACTTCCAGTCCCCAGAACACCTCTGAGTGTTTCACTATCTTCCAAGATCGACAGGGCTCTTGGTGCCTCGGTACAGTAATTGAATCGCTCAATCACTCCCCCTTACTCCCGTAAGGATACAACCCCTCTCAAGAGTCCACACTCTTGAGTGTCTCTCAAGTTTTTAATAAAAGTAGTGAATGGCTCTCTTATAGAGTGAATTCAATGATAAACACTAATGCTCAGTAGTAACGTGAAAAACAGAGTATTGAATGCGTAACTCAATATTCGCAGGTGGTAGTTCGGGTATTCAATATCTTCATTAATGCTTCTTCGCGCCTTTTATAGTTGATATCGTTAAGTAGCCGTTAGACGGAAGAGCTTCTAGCCGTTGTGACTTCGTTTGCGTGTTTCGCTGGTTTCAACGACTCCGCCATTAATGCGTCTGAGTTTCTGACACTGTAGGTCGCAGTCTACGCAATCCCGTTGAAGAGCCGTTGCACTCGTTTTCATTAATCTGCATATTTTAAGATTCGAACAAATGAGAGTTTTGTGGTGAGTGCTTTAATCTTGAATACAGAAAGAAGGCTAATTTATCATTCAAGGATTTGTGACGAAATCATTTATTAGCAAGAAGAACAGAGTGTCATTCCGGTTTAGTTTGATCGAAAAAGTGATCGATTACTTGATGATAGATCAAGTTATCGATAAACGGAATGAAGACTTTTCGAAATAGATCACTAAAATTATCGATCAAGTGTTGGATCATTGACTCTAAGAATTATCATAGAAAGAGGAAATCGTTCTATGATCGAACAATTGATCGAACACATATTTGATCGAACAGATTATCGATAATTCAAATGTTATTGAAATGAAGCTTCAGTCATTGATGATCGAACATCTTATCGATAAATGTATGATGGATAATATTATCGATAAAACATGGTTATGTAAATAATCAATGAAAGACACAGGCTATCTGAAATGATCGAACAGTTGATCGATCATTGATTATTCGAACAAGTGATCGATAATAGTGAAGAAAGAAGTTTAATCCTGTAAGGCAAAGGAAATGATTATCGATCACATTTTGTGAAAACATGAAATCCGAGGAATTGAATGATCGATCATATTATCGAAAAACCAGTGATCGATAACTTGATCGAAAAATAGTTCACCATAACTTAATGCGAATATGTCAATTCTTAGACTCTTTATCGATCACGTTATGTGAAAACTTATTTAAGCAAACAAGTTAAACTTATCGATAATTTAGTTGTAACAAAACTGAGTAAAAGTAGATAAGGACATTGATTATCGATCATGTGATCGATAATTTTATGATCAATAAGGTTATCGATCCATCAATGAATTTGATCACCTGCATTCAGAGAGTTAGAGCATAAAGTTCGAACACGTAATCGATAAACAAATGGTCGGAAATATGATCGATAAATTTGTAACAGAACTAATGTGCAGAACAAGTAGATTGTGTTACCTTTTATCGAAGTCGTTATTGATGACTGATTTATCGATAACTTGATCGATAAATATACTTCAGATTTGAGTCTCTTATCAGTAACTCGATTGTTTACCTGATATTATCGATCAGCTTATCGATAATTTACCATACTCTTATGTGATTTTTACGTTAGTGATTATCGATCACTTTATCGATAAATTACTCATCGAATAGTTCTTCGATCAGAAAGCCTACTATAGACCTGATTTACACTTGATCATTTATCTAAAACCTTAGCGATAAATAATTGCTCGATCAGTTGATCGATCAAAATACTTAACCTTGAAATTCTGACTTTGTTATCATCAAAACTATAAACCTAACACCATGGTTTCAAATGAAGCTATCCGGAGCTGCTTCTTGCTTAAAATTATTGATCATTGGTGGTGGGCCCAGGGAACATGACAGAGAACAGGTCTCAATTATTTGTCATTCCTTCACTCTTCACTCTCGGTCCTACGTAGCAGAACTCTTCGGTCCTTTACTCTCGGTCATATGCTCTAAAGAAAATAGAGCTCTTCAATCCTTCACACTTCAGTCTCGGTCCTTCGCTCTTCAGTCCTTCACACATCAAAAAACAAATTCAGCCAGAACGCGTTGCCTTCCTCCTTTGCTCTACCTGAGCTAGAACGCAGTGCTGCCGGTGAAGTTGTGGTCGAGTCACAGTTTGAAGGCGCTGGTGAGAGAATCCTCTGCTCTGTAGAAGAAGATCACCCCTTGGGTTGTGATTCGTTTATTGTTTGGCTGGGTTCATCACTATGAAGCATTTCGCCAGTGGTGGTTTCGTCTTGGTGAGGTCGCTGTCAGTGGTTCCCTGGCTCAGATCCGGTGCTCAAATAAGGTGTCTCCTCTTGAAAAATGAATTATTGCTCATTCCTTTTCTTCTTCTCCATTGCGTCGAAATCCTGGCTTCAATTTGCTGCTAGTCTCTATTTCCGTTGGTTCATGCCTGTTCTACCAACAAGTAGTGCATCGTTTGGTGCTCTTTATTTGTTTTCTTGGTTCATAGATTTGTTTCCTTCTTAGAATTAGTCTCACAGTAGTTCATTTTTGTTTCAGTGCTGGCTTGAGTGGTTGTTTGCTTAGTGCATAGCTGCTTGAAGTTTTGCTTCAGTGGTGGGTTGATTTCATTCCTTGGTTCATTTGTGTAGCTTGATTTATTTCCTTCTCTGTTGAAACCAAAACTTCATGCTTGCTCTGGGTTAATTTGATTTCGGTTTGCCTCCTCTACTAAAACCGAGACATCGTTTATCTGATTTCAGTTTGCTTCCTCTGTTGAAACCGAAACATGATGCTACTTCCAGGGATTGACTTGCTTTCGGAGTCTAAGGACATTAGGTTGTCCGGATACACATATTTGTAATAATTTGCTCATTATAAATAGGTCTTAATTTGATTTAATTTGGTTATTAAATTTTGTGATCGTCATAATTTTGATAATTCTTTGTAATCAATTATTGGACTTTGTATTTCTAGTTATTACAATTAATTTCTTTTTTTTCCTGATCATGAAAGGAATAGGAACATAGTTTCATTTTATGTTGGGTTAAAAAATTAATTACGTATTATAAATACAAAGATTGAGTTTTTATTTGTTTGAAATAATAATGAAGGAAAAAAATGTTAATAGGGTATTCATAACTGATTTGGATAACAATGACACTTGTTATTTCAATTGATTTTGGGCTGATTAAGTTGTGATGACCAAAGAGCTGTAATTGTTGTATAGCATAATGAGTAAAGATAATATGAAAGCTTCATAAGATCTAAGAATAGAGTCGGGAAAACGGGTCGAGCCCGTCGGGCCGGCCCGTTTAGACCCTGAAATTATGAGGGCCGAGCTTGATATTTTTCTCCTAAAATGAGAAATAAGCCCTGGAGGGCCGAGGGCTTAAGGGCCGGCTCTTTTAAGCCCTTTTATATTTTTTTATTTTTTAAATTTTTTTATATAATATTAATGTTATTAATTTTTTACATTATTAATAATATTTCAAATATTTAGTTATTATTATCATTTTAAAATTAAATTTAGTTTTAGATAATAATTTATCTAATTAAAATTTTAAAAAATGGGTTAATTTGGACTTTAATAATGATTTGATTTATATTATATGCGTTGATATTTTTAAACTATATACATATATTTGATAATAGAATATTTTTATACTTATATAACTTGTGATTCTATAATTTGAATTAGAAATTCATGAGTTTCAACAACAATATTTCTCACATTAAAGTAAAATAATAGTTAGATTGCAAAATTTAAAAATAAAATTCTTATAAAGAAGAAAAACTTGATATTTTTATTACGAAAGAAAAGCATACTTATGAAGAAAAGTAATTAATTATAGTGATGATGAAGTTTCAAAAGATTAATGATAATGTTTATTTATTGCACAATTGCATTATAGATAAAACTTTTAGATGTTGTTATCTTGTTAATGAATGTTTTAGATATTCTTAGATGTTGATAAATATTTATATATGATGATATTTTATATTTGTGACTTAATTTTATTCATATTTATATCTTTTATTAATAATTTCATTGGTTTGTTTTTATATTTTTATAAAAAATATGATAAATATAAAAAATAGTATTTTTTCTTAAACGGGCCAAAAGCCCGCGAGCCGGCCCTGGCCCTGTAGCTTAAGGGTCGGGCTTAGCAAATTGGAGTATTTTTAAAATTTCAGCCCTGGAGGGCCAGCCCTTTTAAACCCGCTAGCCCTGAAGGGCTGGCCCTGATTCCCAACTCTATCTAAGAACTACAAAAGTGTTTATTGACCTGTGTATTGAAGAAATTCAAAAAGGGGGAAGAAAATAATGATGATGATGTAGTTGAATCTTCACATATATCTTCATCAATAGAATTTTCATCTCACATGGCTAGGCTTCATGACTTTATAAGAAATCAAATTGTTCACTATATATAAGAATAGTCATGTCCTTTTTATTTCCTTTTTTTTCCAGATAATGTAATGTGTTGTTAAAAAAACTATTTGGACAAATATATTTCATTACAACCTCTATTATTAAGACAATTAATATGAATTTTTTTGTGTGGTTATTGAATTTTGTGAAAAAAAATTATAGGATTTCATCTTTAAAATCTTTATGAAATAATAATTTTTTTATTTATATTATTTATGTCTTACTGATTCTGTTGTCAAAATACATATTATTAACAAATTTATTACTTCAAATAAACATATATTATAAAATATATCTTATATATAATTATCATTTAAACTTATCAGAATCACTTTTTAAAAATTTTTATTCTTTTAAAATCTATTTTGTGCAAAATCTATTCATTAAAAACCATTCTAACTTATGTTTCTCCTCGTTCAAACACCCCCTGTTTCATAATCCAAGCCATCCGTCCATCAGAGCCTAAACGAAATGGTTCTTCGGCTTCGCAATCACGTCATCACTATTGCTAACTTCCTCCTCAAAGCAATCTCAGTTTCTGAAAGCGAATATGTTTTCCGGTAGGGCTTTAAGGTACGCCTTGTTTCCGTTTTCTTTCCCGTTCGCCAAATCCTAAGAGCATTGAAGAAGCTATCTCTTCATTTCATGGCTTGCTTCATATGAATCCCCAACCCTCTAGAGCTCATATTGATAAGATTCTAGGATCTGTCGCGAAGATGAAGCATCACCGAACTGCTATTTCCCTTTTCGCAAAAGCAGAATGCAAGGGATTCACGCCTTCTTTATTTACTCTGAGCATCTTAATCAATTGTTACTGCCATTTGGGCAATATGTCTTTTGCTTTCTCTATACTAGGGAAGATTCTCAAGATGAGCCGTCAGCCAGATATAATAACTTTAAATACTCTGTTGAAAGGTCTCTGCATTAATAATAACGTTAGAGAAGCCCTTGTCTTTCATAGTGACTTATTGACAAAAGGATTTCAGTTAAATGAAGTAAGCTATGGTACCCTGATCAATGGCTTCTGTAAAATTGGAAAAACGTCCGCTGCTCTTCAATTGCTTCGAAAGATGGAGACAGGGTTAGTTAAGCCTGGTTTAGTTATCTACAACACAGTCATAGATGGTCTTTGTAAAGAAGGGCTTGCAATTGAGGCAAAAAAATTATATCATGAAATGACTGATAGGGGAATATCTCGGGATATTGTTACCTACAACTCTCTAATATATGGTTTCTGTTGCATGGATCAATGGCACGAAGCCACTTGGTTTCTAAATAAAATGGTGGTAGAAGGCATCAGACCTAGTATTTATACCTTCAATATATTGATAGGTGCATTTTGTAAAAAGGGGAGGATAACCAAAGCTGAGGCAATAGTTGGTAGGATGATGAAATGTGGTACAAAGGGTGATGTTATTACTTACAATTCTTTAATGGATGGGTACTATATGATGAATAATGTTGATGAGTCGAAGAAGGTTCTTAATAGAATGATCAAAAGTGATGTGTTGCCTGATGTTTTCAGTTACAATATCTTGATTAATGGGTTATGTAAAATGAAGAGGATTGGTGAAGCAATGGATCTCTTTCAGGAAATGCAATGCAAAGGTTTGTTTCCTGATATTGTGACATATAGTACTCTTATTGATGGCCTGTTCAAATCAGGAAAGATCTCAAACGTGCAGGAACTTATTTACGATATGCATGATAGTGGTCATCTACCTAATATAGTAACCTACAATGCCTTGTTAGATGGATTGTGCAAGAGCCAGCATCTTGATGAAGCAATTATGCTATTTAAAAAAATGGGCGTCCTGGGAATACAACCTGATATTTACACATATACCATTCTTATTGATGGCTTGTGCAAAGGGGGCAGGTTAAATGCTGCACAACAGATTTTTCAGTATCTTTTAGTCAAAGGCTATCGTTTGGATGTCCAAGCATATACTGCTATGATCAATGGACTTTGTAAGGAGGGCTTGTTTGATGAGGCAAAGACATTACTTTTTCAAATGGGAGAGAATGGATGTCTCCCAAATTTTGTAACTTTTCAAACAATCATTGGAACTCTTCTGGAAAAAGGAGACAATGATAAGGCAGAGAATCTTCTTGATGAAATGATTGTTAGGGGTCTCCTAAAATGATAAAAGAAGGTTAGATACTTGTGTTCATGTTGACATTTGTTGTAATAATTGACTAATGTTTTTGTTACTCTGGTGAAAATTGTTGACCATATAATCTTTTACAACCATTGACATTGAAAGGCAATTGCATTGATCTGCCTCTGCTTTTGTAGTTCGAAGTTAAAGTTCTTTTCTCTCTGAGCTCCGTGTGTTTGTTTGGTATTAACCTCAGCTGTTTCATCCTTGGTGTGCGTTGGGTCCATGTCAATTGGATTGTTTAATTGCGTATACTGTAATTGAACTTTCTATTCTACCCTTGTGATATGTACCAATATATCCTTGTGAAGCAATGGAAACAATTTTATGATTCGACAGTGGTAGGTTCTTCATTCATATGCAAATAAATTGGAATTGGGCCTACTTCTTTTATGTTTTCCACCGACAGTTGCCATCTTTTCCTTTTTTTGAAGCTGAGTGCATATGCATATACCTGTTTAATTGAAAAGAAAAAGTAAAAAAACACTCAGCAAATTTCTGTGACATAACCCATGTGAAACTGCAACACAGGTCAGTGCTTTATCCTCATGACATTTTTAATTTATCTCGTTTCCAAAATACAACCTCGTTTCTGTTTGCAGGTTTGGGGATGAATACCATTTGGAGAGTGATTAAATGTCCTTTTCTAATTCGATGGCTTTCACATCTTCACCTCGTAGAGATTGTGTTTTTAGAAAATCAGAGCTTTCCTGGTTTTGTTGTGAAGTCGGGTGCTTGTGGTTATAATGTACTATCTCCAATCCTTAATATAAAAGTTAGATGACTAATTTGGAGAGATTGAGAAAATCAGTTAAGTTGATTAATTACTTCTCTAAACTACCTATTTTAATAATGTGCATCACCCCTTGATGGAAAACCCTAACAATCAATGAGAATATTTTAGAGAAAACTTATAAATTTGAGAAACAAAGTGAATTGATGTATTAAATTTAAAATCAAACGTAACCCTCCAACTAACTCCTATATTAAAGATCAGAGATAGTGTTTGATTGTTAATATGATGAACAGAGGGATGTTGCATTATTTCATAGCTCATTGTAATGCTTGTATTTAAGAGTAGGTTCAAACTCTGAAACGGTTGAAAAAAGCACCCTTTGTGACAGGACTGTTTTGGAGACTAGAGGCATCATATGGTTGTGAGAATGATAAGTCTGTCTTGGAAACTTTCTCATAAATTCCCTCTTCTTCTGCGTTAACCAAACATAGGACTGTTGTTTCTCTTTCTCATGGTATTTCCTGATGAGGGTGTTTAATGGCGACCTTAGGTTTTCTCAATTCAGTATGCATAATTTGCCATGATTGCGGATGACCCTGACTGGTTGGGTGGATTACCAGCAAGTGTCTCGGCCAGTGATTGCTGCAATGCATCCATTCCATCTCCCATCCCATCATTTGTTTGCTCAGGTAAGGACTCCAATTGACGAAAAAGAAGCTGCACCAGACTCAATTCAGTTTGAAGTTAGACAACATATTATGGAAGGACACATACTTTGGTACAATGAATATAATCTACTAAGTGCCTGTTTGGATTAGTGGTAAATAACTATGATTCTAGATAATCATAAATTTTATAAGTGACATTAACTATAAGTGATGTTAGTTAATTATAATTTCTGTTTGGATATTTTTTTTCATTAGTGACAGTAAAAATTGTGATTATATTTGGTTGTTATTCATTAAAATCACTTACGGATGTATAATTAACAAAAAGATATGAATTTAATGAATATTATTAAATATAATTATTTGGGAAGATATTTTAGGAAGAGTGTGAGAAGATAAATGGAAGAAAATTCAATTGATAAAAATTGATTAGGATTTTTCAAAAGTACAAGCTACTTTTCAGTGCTTATCTCATAATATTTACATCGATTTTATAAAAATTTACCCAAATAGAATAAACATGGTTCGTGGTCACTTATTTATTCTATAAAAAAAAGGGGCTTATTTAAGCTCTCACCAATTTACCAAACTGATACTAAAACATGTATTGAATCCTTCTTTGCTTTCTTTCAAATATTGACCAAAAATATGTTAGATATGATTAGTTTTGATGATGTTAAATAATAGAGTAAAAAGTTTGTATAAATTATTTACCTCATATTTTAACTAATTATCATACTTAATATCTTGTGTCGTTTCCTCAAGAAAAGAAAGGAGTTATTATGTTGAACGTTGAGTTGTGGAGAATGATCAAGAGGAAGAAGAAGAAGAGAGATTGAGGGAAAAAAAAAAAAAAAAGAACTTGCAAGACCACAAGAAAATATCAAGATTCAAGTTCATAGATATGATGCTAAAGGTTGTTATGCTCAATCAGAAGTTTGAATGGCTCAATCGGAAGCTAAAATGCACAAACCGGAAGTTATATAATCATATATTGAGTCACCCTTCATATAAACATGGAAAGTAAGCTTTAAAAGTGATTTTCATGAGCATTTATCGATCAATTGATCAATCATCTACTTATTAATCAAGTTATCGATAAAACACATATTGTGTTATGTTCTGTTTTTCGTTCAGCTCTGACATAGGTTTGGTATTTCTCTAATATCTCTCAAACCACAAATCCGTTTGAGATGAAACTTGATTCATATGAAATTAGACTTAGAACACAGTTCATGGACACCAAAATCACCTTTAAAGAGTTTCATATGAGGGAGATATATTGTTCGAAACATTGCAGTAAAGATTAACGCCTTTATTCCAACCTTCAGTCACTTTGCAACGACAACGAATTTTGGGATGATTCTTGTTGCATTAGAAAGTAGACTCAGAGAGCTTTCTGGGAATAGGTCATTTGTAAAATTTGGAGTTGAATTGGAAGATTTATGATCACTCAAAGTTGACTTTTGTTTTGATTGAATCAGAATTCGAATTTATTGAGGCAAAGACCAGAAGTTTTACATTAACCGATTAAGCTCTTGAACAACATGCTACTCAAACATGTTATTGAGTAAAAGTACTAGAAGAAATGAAGAAATGAAAAGTCATTATCAAATGTTACTCGAGCCTAATCAAGCAACTACGTACTCGATCATTTTATTGAGTTCTTGGTACTATCTCTTCAATTCTTCTATTTTATCTTCATTTGCATTATTAAGATTTTATCATTAACATGTTGAATAAATGGTTTTTAAATAACGTTATTGATAAATGTATTTATCGATTACTTGATCGATAACTGTTAAGTTTTATCGATCACGTGATAGATAATTTACTCTACTCAATAACTTGCTAGATTGATCGATCAACTGATCGATCATTGGTATAGCTGCTTAATATAAGATGTTGCAGGAAATAATCGATCACTTAATCGATCAAACATTTATCGATAACTTGTTCTGTCGAAAGCATTCATTCAAAATCTTTTATCGATCAACTGATCTATTAAACATTTATCGATCAAATGATCGATCAATATCTTCACTGCATTAACTTATGTTGAACTATTTTTTTGATCACCTAATTGATCATTGATTTATCCATAAAATGATCGATTATCTAATTTTCTGAAACTCCTGTTTTCACATAACGTGATCGATCAAAGTTTTTCCTAGTATTTCTAAAATAAGTTTTCAATGATATTTTATTGATCATTTAATCGATTAATCATTAATCGATCATGTACTCAATTATCTTATATTCGGTAGCTTCACTGTGAAAATCTCTTTGAAACTTTTTATCGATCATTTCTCCTATCAACCGTTTATCGATAAAGTATTTGATCAACACATTTTGAAAATATACTTCTCTTATACTTAGCTTTATCGATAATATGATCACTCAAACAGTTTTCGATCACTTGTTCGATTATTGTACCGGTTTATTTTATAACAGTATTTCATGATGATTTCAAAAAATTTTATCTTTTTATCTTTAAGCTTTTCTCAGCTTTCCTTTTACACATAACTCTCTATTAAAAGGATACGAAGGCAAACATAATTTGAAAAAGATTATCCTTGCATAATCCATTTAAAAGCTCACTGCATGCATGTTTCATCAGTTATTGATTATTTGTTCAATCATTATATTGTCCATAATCTATTCGATAATTGCATATATCTACTATATCTTTTCTTCATATAATTAATCGATCAAAGGATTATCAATCAAGGCATCGATTAAGTAAGTTCATCTTATTTCTGAATATCTGAATATCTGAATATCTGATGATTAATTCCATGTTTTTCAATTTATTGTTTCTAAGATTATCATATACTTATCACTTGATTTGAGGAAGATTATTTTAGGTAAAGAGCCACAACGAATTTATGATGTGAAGAATCGACTTTCGTGAGAAGTTTCCAATAGCTAGTTTCAACAGTTATATTCTTCAAGCCAAACGGGAAGAAAATGCTCAACGGTTAAGTACCTGATATCATCTATAAATAGAAGAGTATTCAAAACAAGAAAAAGAGAAGAAGAGTTTGAATTTACAACATTAAATGCTAAAATGCTGAATCAACATAGTCTCATTTAGAGCTCCAAGAGAAAACTCCCTGTCTTTGTACTTCATAGACTAAAACTTATGTATTCGTAAGATAGAGAGGAGAGTTTCCCAGATGTGCTTAAGATTTATCTATCACTTCTTTGAGAGAAGAAATATTCAATCTTCTTTATCATTATCAGATTGTATCCTTACGGTACGTAAGGGGGAGTATTTACCTCAGTAAGAAGTTGTTGTTGAATAGACTGATTAGTTTAAGAATTGTAAGTAGCGTCACAAGTACCCGAATCAAATTTGTGGTTGTAGTGGTTCTCAAGTACCCGTGTTAAACTTGAGAGAGATAGTCGATTGAAAATCTCAGAGGGAGCTTGAGAACTGGACGTAGGTCAGTGAGGACCGAACCAGGATAAATCACAGTTTGCATCTTCTCTTCCCTTACCTTTTTATATTTCCAACTAAACTATTTTACTACTGTGATTATGCTTATATTCATTGTTTTTATACTCAAAATTTCTCATGAATTTCATTACATTGCGGAAAGGTTTTTAATTTTAACTAACACCTAATTCACCCCCTCTCTTGAGTGTTTAGCCATTCTTACAGAATAGCGGAGTTAGAACATGTATTGAATCCTTCTTTGCTTTCTTTTAAATATTGACCAAGAATAGAGGAGTTAGAGTAAATTTTGCATTCTATTTTGATATTACAAGTTAGAAAGATTAAGGAAACATTAAAAAGAAACTCCTCAACATGTCTAATCTGATCTTCAAAAGCACAGAAAACGACATGAAGATACCTTGCTAATGCTAATTAATGAGGCATTTTGTGTAGGCCTCAGTCCGGAATCTCTCAATAGGTTTATATGCTTGGTCTTGCAATCTCGTACTCGCAGTGCCAAGCAGAAGAGGTAACCCACTGTCCAGAGATTAGATTTCGTAGCTAGCAGAAAAGTATGTAAGCTTAAGAGGATGTTTGGATAAAACCAAACATGGTTTTGAAAAATAATTTCTTGAGAAAAAAAATTATTTTTAAGAATAAATTTTGGAAAAATAAATAATGTAAAAAATGATTGTGATAAAATGATAGTATTTAGGTAGTTGTTAACAAGAACACTTTTTATATATGCATATTACTAAATAAAAACATAAGTTAATATAATAATTACATAAAAGATTGATTTTATAATATATTTTTATTTGAAGTAATAAGTTTGTTAATAATATATTTTTTGCCAATATAATAAATAATATTAAAAAAATTAATTAATAAATAATTAATATGTGTATATGTATTTATAAAGTATAAGATTAAATATATTTTTAGAAAAATAATTTTTTTGCCAATAGAAAAATATTTTTTTAGCTGAATAGAAAATATTATTTTACTTTAAAAATTTTAAACATAAAATCTTATAATATTTTTGCTTGAAGAGAAAAAACGAAGCTTTTGAATGTGATGGGTATTTTTGTCCAAATATCGTTGGCCAACTTCTCAACTTCTGACAAGAGATACTCTTTGCTGCAGCAATCATATTTTCACTCCCAGATGCGAAATATTTTAGCTTAACCATGGTGTTGAGGAGGCCAAAACAACGATTTTGAACCAAGCTAAGGTTTTATTAAAAAAATAAAATAAAATTGAGGTGTTTAGATTTTTTTTTGGGTGAAATCATGATTTGGAGTCCAAAAACACTTTTTATCAATTTGCCAAACGCTCCATAAATGTTTCGCTCACCCCCCCCCCCCAAAGTTTTTCTTTCCAGCATGAATGTTTCCCTCTCAATCCTTTTTATAATATTTTTTTATCATCCCCCTTTTGATTTTTCTTTGATTTGATGGCAGGTTTTTTCTCTACCCCAAAAGCTCGGTCTATTTTATTAAATGGTGTTGTAAGGAGAGGGAAACGATTAATTCCACCTTCTTCATTTGAAATATTGATGCGAGTTACCTTCCCTCTATCTTCAACTAGAGTAAAAGAACCTTTATCTCTTTCACTTCGAGAAAACGGAAGATCAGAGCTTTACTCTGTAGGATGGGCCTTAGGTGTTTGATAATTTATTGTTTCACACAATCCAAACCCATATTGAATTAGGTTGTGAATATGTGATGCCTAATTACAGGTGCATTTGTTATTTTTCTAAAGGTTGTAATGTATAAGAACGAGCCGTAAATTGCTATTCCTAAAGGTGATTGGAAAGTCGTTAACAGCTTGTCAAGGTTAAGAACTCTGCAATCGCAATTTGTTAAATACTACCTCCGGTTTGAATTATAAGAGCTAATTGACTAATTTGAGAAAATTAAAAAAGTAAGTTGAGTTAGTTATTTATCCTAAATAAATATTGTCTTTCCTAAAATATTCTTACTGATCAAATGTATTGACTAAAACTATCATTGTTATAATGTCTATTTTGAAAAAAATATATAAATATAAGAGACAAAGTGGATTGAAATCTTATATTTATGACCAAAATAAAAGTCAAATAGGATCTTATATGAAGGACCGAAAGTAGTATTAAAAGTACCATTGCTTGTTGTAAATTACTGATTCGATATTGGTCAAATCGATTGAAAGTTGTCAATAACTTATCAAGTTTAAAGATGTTATCATTGCAGTAGTAGTGCCAAGTCTTATTTTGCCAAGCATGTTGCAGATTACTCTCTCAAATAAATAAAATTGATTGACAAGTCAAATTTTGTAATTGTGACAAGAGGCCTGAATTCTTACTTTTTCAAATATGTACGGTATAATATCTTATTGTAAATTGGTCATCCAAAACGGGTAAAATTATTGAAAAAATGCCAATAACATCCCAAGGTAGGAACTTGGAAATTGCAATAACAAGTCTAATTTTTATTTTCCAAGTATGTAAGGTAAAGTAGTAGTGTGTTGTAAATTGATAATCAAAATGACTAAAATTGACTGAAAAGTTGTTATAGGGTATAGTATTGTGTTCCAAATTGATAATCCAAAATGAGTAAAATTGATTGAAAAATTGTTAATGGCTTCTCAAATTTAGGAACTTTGCAATTGTAATAACAAGTTTGATTCTTATTTTGTAATGTACAATCATATGTTACAAATGGCTAATTCAAAATGATTAAAGACCTATTCAAGAATTGTTAATAACTACTGAACTTAGGCAATGGGTAAAATCCAAAGAATATTAGTGAACTTTATTCAAACAACATTAGTGAATTTTCACTTCGGTGTAAGTGATTAATCTGAAACGTTTAAAATGAAGCATCTTATGAAGTAAGGGAGTGTTTGGATAAAAAACAAATTATGATTTTAAAAGTGTTTTTACAGTATACAAAGTAAATACTCCTCCGGTCCTTATTATAAGACCCAATTTGACTTTTTATTTGGTCCTAATTATAAGACCCAATCCATTTTCTCTTTTATATTTATACATTTTTTTCCAAGATAATCCTTCTAATAATGATAGTTTTAGCTAATATACTTAATTAGCAAGGATATTTTAAGAATAACAATACTTATTTATTATAAATAACCAATTTAACTTACTTCCTTAATCTCCTCAAATAAGTCAATTGGGTCTTATAATTAGGATCGGAGGAATATATAGAGGAGTTTGTCTTGTTTTAGAGAAAAATGACATTTTAAATGTCACCAAACACTCCATAAATATATGAAAGAATTTATCTCGATTTGTAAAAAAAGTTCTTTTAAAAAAATATTTTTGTAGTTTCCCAAATACTCCCAAAAAATATGTAAAAAGAATTTTCTCTTTACTTATGTAAAAATACTTTTTAAAATGATATCAAACTCTCCCAAATAAAAATGATACTAATCCTTATACCCAAAAAAAAAACATTAATCCTCTATTTTATTATAAAATAAGTTTTATATTTAGTTATCAAATAGTACTATCTCCGGTCTTAATTATAAGAGCCAGTTGACTAATTTGAAGGGATTAAAGAAGTAAGTTGAGTTAGTTATTTATCCTAAATAGGTGTTGTCTTTCCTAAAATATTCTTGCTAATCAAATGTATTAACTAGAAATATAATTATTAGAAGAATTATCTTGAAAAAAATTAAGTAAATACGAAAGACAAAGTGAATTAGAGTCTTATATTTAAAATTAAAATAAAAATAAAATAGGATCGTATATTAAGAATGAGAAGTAGTATTAAAAATATTTTTTCGGAAAAACAAAAGGGACCTTCCATTCCTAGGCTCGCAGTCGCAGCCGGCGTCCGGAGATAGCGGAAGACTTTTTGTGGCGAGCGATTGTAATCTTCTGGCGTCTGGTTCTTCACCAGTCCCATTGTCCCCTTCCTCCTCAAAGCTGTTCTGTAAAACTACAAGGTACGCCTTCCTCAGACATTTTTCCCATTCGCCAACTCCTAGGAGCATTGAAGAGGCTATCTCTTCATTTCATGGCTTGCTTCATATGAATCCCCAACCCTCTATAGTCCGTATTAATAAGATTCTAGGATCTGTCGCGAAGACGAAGCATCACCGAACTGCTATTTCCCTTTTCTCAAAAGCAGAATGCAAGGGATTCTCGCCATGTTTGGTTACTCTAAACATCTTGATCAATTGTCACTGTCATTTGGGTAACATGCCTTCTGCTTTCTCTATTCTAGGGAGGATTCTCAAGATGGGCTGTCAGCCAGATATAATAACTTTGAATACTCTGTTGAAAGGTCTCTGCATTAATAATAACGTTAGAGAAGCCCTTGTCTTTTACAATGACATATTGACAAAAGGATTTCACTTAGATGAGGTAAGCTATGGCATCCTGATTAATGGCTTCTGTAAAATTGGAAAAACGTCTGCTGCTCTTGAATTGCTTCGAAAGATGGAGAGAGGGTTGGTTAAGCCTGGTTTAGTTATCTACAACACAGTCATAGATGGTCTTTGTAAAGAAGGGCTTGCAATTGAGGCAAAAAAATTATATCATGAAATGACTGATAAGGGAATATCTCGGGACATTGTTACCTACAACTCTCTAATATATGGTTTCTGTTGCATGCATCAATGGCACGAAGCCACGTGGTTTCTAAATAAAATGGTGGTGGAAGGCATCAGACCTAGTATTTATACCTTTACCATATTGAGAGATGCATTTAGCAAAGAGGGGAGGATAACCAAAGCTGAGGCAATAGTTGGGAGGATGATGAAATGTGATACAAAGGCTAATCTTATTACTTACAATGCTTTAATGGAGGGGTACTCTATGATGAATAATGTTGATGAGTCGAAGAAGGTTCTTAATAGAATGAAAAGTGATGTGTTGCCTGATGTTTTCAGTTACAGTATCTTGATTAATGGGTTATGTAAAATGAAGAGGATTGGTGAAGCCATGGATCTCTTTCAAGAAATGCAATGCAAAGGTTTGTTTCCTAATATTGTGACATATAATACTCTTATTGATGGCCTGTTCAAATCAGGAAAGATCTCAAACGTGCAGGAACTTATTTACGATATGCATGATAGTGGTCATCTACCAAATATAGTAACCTACAATGCCTTGTTGGATGGATTGTGCAAGAGCCAGCGTCCTGATGAAGCAGTTATGCTATTTAAAAAAATGGGCGTCCTAGGAAAACAACCTGATATTTACACACATGCCATTCTTATTGGTGGTTTGTGCAAGGATGGTAAATTAAATACTGCTCGACAAGTTTTTCAGTATCTATTGGCTAATGGTCATCCTCCAGATGTCCAAGCATATACTGCTATGATTAATGGACTCTGTAAAGAGGGCTTGTTTGATGAGGGACGGGCGTTACTTTTTCAAATGATTGACAATGGGTGCCTCCCAAATTTGGTAACTTTTAAAACAGTGATTGGAGCTCTTTTGGAGAAAGGTGAGAATGATAAGGCGGAGAATATTCTTCATGAAATAGTTGCTAGAGGCCTTCAAAGACGATAAAAGAAAGCTAGATACTTGTTTTCATGTTGAAATTTGTTGAAATATTTAACGAATGCAATGTCTGACAGCAGCTGAAATTTAAAGGCAATTAAAGTTGTTTTCACTTTTTATTTCAGTATCAGCCATGGTTGTCGTTGAATCCCCTAAGTTCATTTGATTGTCTTTGCCTTGCTGATACAGGTAGGCAGCATATGCCACTGATGATTATTTTCGGGGTTCATTCTCCCATCCCATCCTCTTTGTTATGTTTAGAAGCAAAACTACTTGAAATGTTGTGAAAATCTATCTCTTTTCTGTCGATTTATGGCTGTCTTCCTGTTATTTTGTTTCTGTTCCTAACATCTGTATCTAGTAAGTTACGGCATATATTCGTTGTAGTTTATGGTGGGGAAATAAAACACTGCAAATTTCTTTGTTAATCTCGGTCCATAAGATGCTATTTTTGTGGTTTTTTCAGTTCTTTTGTAGTTGGGATAAGTTCACATGTAGAACTGAGATTTAGCTTAGACACTTTTTCCTTGAAATGTTTTGTTTTTTTAACCATGTACAAACTCAGAAAAAACAGTTGAAAATTTTGCCTTTTGAGTTTGACATGTGCGGCTTACGGATTTAATTCGAAACACTGGTGTTGAACTTTTTTAGACATTCAGTTGCAATGTAAATATGTCTGGACATTTGGATCAGTTCAACTTTTATCCTGTATCCAAGCAAGTGTCCAAGAAGAAGAATGTATGTCAACATCACAGATTGTATAGATGAGCAAGTACTCTAGCGTAGGCAATTGCCGATGAACACAACAACAACGTAGGTGTTAGAGTTATTGCCCCTTGGAAGGGTCCCCATACGGCTCAAATCCGGATTAGTCTAGGTCCTTGGAGTTCTGAAGAACAAGGTTGGCCTGAGATACTGAGTGCACTTCACAAAAATAAAAATGTTGGCGAACACAATGATGATGGATTACACAGTTCATTGAAATGTTTGTATTTATACCAATGTTCACACTCTAGAACAGATGAAAACAAAAAGGTTGCCATTTTATCTTGTGATAGACCAATATAAGTTTATGGGAGATGAATGAACTTTGATCCTCTCACTTGAAAGGTTTCTATACCCTATTTTAACTTAATATCCGGTTGCCCACTTTAATTGATGGTCTTTGGAAAGAAGGTCTTGTTATTGGAGCAAAAAATTTGCATCATGAAATGACTATTAGAGGAATAACTTCTAATATTGTTACATATACCATTCTGATGCATGAATTAATGGCAAGAAGCCACGTGGTTGCTCAATAAAATGGTGCTACAAAGCATCAAGCCTTGTATTTATGTCTTTAATATATTGGAGGATGCATTTTCTAATACAAAGGAAGGATAACCATATGGCTGCAGTTTCTATTATAAGGGAAAACATGTTAAAAATACTTATGCTTTTTCTCAATTTTTAATTTGGTATCTACATATTTTTTTAAAATTAAATATTTAATTTTACTCTATTAACATTAATCCTTGTATGGAGACTAATAATAACAGCAAAGCAAGATTGTAAGAGTGAATGTTGTTAAAAAAATTAAAATTAAATGATTTAGTTATGAGGAAAAAATCATATAGATATTAAATCAAAGAAAAATTTTGGTGAAACTATTAAATTAAAAATCAAAACAAGGTATATGTACCTCCAATATGGTTTTGCTTTTTGAAACGTGGTCAAATAGTTAATATAATTACTTTCTTTGCTTTAATGGATGGGTACAATTGGATCAGTAATGTTTGATGAGTTACATTGCATAAAATGATCAAAAATTGATGTGGCTCCTAGTATTTTTAAGAAAAAATCACCAACAAGATCTTGAAAATAAAAAAATTATAAATAGGGATCCATTACACTCTTCTGGTTCTAAATATAAGATCATTTTTGTAGTGTAAATTATTACAAAAAAGGTTTTATATTTAAGACCGGAGAAATAGTATGGGTTCTGACAACAATTGATAAGTAAATAACAACAATTTTTATGAATGGGTCTTTGTATTAATTTTTTAATTTCTAAGATCTCTTTTTGCCATTTTCCCTATTTTTAATGACAATATATTGATTAATGGGTTGCATCATGATAGCATGTATAAATAACCATATGCTAGATAACTATAATATCTTGTTGGATGGATTATGCAAGAGCCATGGTCTTAACGAGATAGTTGCTCTCTTTTTAAAAGTTTGACTTTAATATTTCCATTACAATGAAAAAATTTTAAATAATAAATAAATGAAAATTAGTGGAATTTGATTTGGTTTGAGTAATTTAAATTGGGAAAAAAAGAGAGAGCGACAGCGAGATAAACGAAATTAAAAAATAATCTTCATTGAGAGACAATATTAATATGTAATCTACATCAATTCATTTTGCTCTTTCTACGTGTCGCTTATATTTTATGAATAAGATAATTTATAATAAAAATTGAAAAGAATCAAATCAATAATTTTTATTTCCGTTAATAAAATTCAATGGTCCTGATAAACCTGAACATATCAAATAAGGGTCAAGTTGTATTTATTCGTCTCATAATTTTTTAAGAGCACCCAATATTTTAAACTAATTTTTGATACGTTCAATATCTTAATGGGAGTTGCTAAATAAAAAGAAGAATTACAATGAGGTCCCAAACAAATAAAACAATTGAAAAACAAGTCCCAGATATTGTTATTTCCACTGTAGGACTTGTCATTATAAGTACTCAGGTTGTTATTGGAACTTTTTAGTAATTATTTTTCTTTTATAGGACTTGATTGTAATTCTCTCTTAAATAAAATGGTGCTACAAAGCTTCAAGCCTTGTATCTATGTCTTTAACGTATTGGAGGATGCATTTTGTAAAACAAGGGAAGGATAAGCGTATGGCTGTAGTTTCTATTATAAGGGAAAACATGTTAAAACTACTTATACTTTTCTCAATTTTTAATTTGGTATCTACATATTTTTTTAAATTAAATTTTTAATGTTACTCTATTAACATTAATCCTTGTATGGAGACTAATAATACCGGTAGAGAAAAATTGTAAGAGTTTAAAATATTAAAATTAAATTACTTAGTTATGAGGGGGAAAAACACAGATAATAAATTAAAGAAAAATTTTGGTGAAAGTATTAAATTAAAAATTAAAAGAAGGTATATGTACCGCCAGTATGGTTTTGCTTTTGAAACGTGTTCAAATGGTTAATATAATTACTTTCTTTGCTTTAATGGATGGGTACAATTGGATCAGTAATGTTTGATGAGTTACATTGCATAAAATGATCAAGGTTAAGGTGCGCCCAGCATCTCAAACTATTTTTTTAGATGCGTCCAGTGTCTTAAAGTAATTTTTAGTGCATTCAGTGTCTCAAACTAATGAAAACAGTATGTTCATATCTCAAGCTAACAAAAAAGTTAAGTTTGACTATTACCTTGTTAACTCAGCCGAAGATTGACTCAAAAATCCTACATGATGGACACATAGGCGTCTGATGTGTATTATTTTGACGGGTTAAAGAGTGCCCAACGCCCCGAACTATTTTTCTAGGTGCACCAAGTGTCCTAAAGTAATTTTTTGGTGCATCTAATGTCCCAAACTAATTAAAACAGTGCGTTCATATCCCAAGCTAACAGAAAAGTTAAATTTGATCGTTACCTTGCTGACTCAATTGAAGATTGACCGAAAAATCCTACATAGCAGACATGCAAGCGTCTAATGTGTATTATTTTGATTAAAGCTCTCGAGACGAGCCCGGTGGTGGTGGGTGTTTTCTTGGGAGGCGACGGCGATGTCGACAGAGTGACCAAAGGGAAGTTTACTGTGTTCTACGAAGAGGAAAGCAAATGCGAGTCAGATGAGAAGTTGACAGAGACAGAGATAAAAGTGTGTTGTGATGACAGTTGCAGTTTCAAATCAAAGTGATGAAAGAAATGGGATAAAATGCTAAAGACGAGGATGTGATTAAATAGGTGGTACATGCACTGGGATTTAAGAGGGTGGATCTGTAACATCCTGAGTTTTAATAGCCCTTTAACCCTGATTTTTGAAGATAATTGGTGTTTAAACTTGAATTTTGGTGTCTAGTTTAGGATCAAAGTGAGCTGGAGGAGCAAGTGAACAAATCCCTCTCAGGATTTGTTCGTTGTGACAAAGTTTCACTTCGTCGAGGTGAAGCAAAGAGTTTTGGGGAGAGCTTTCTTTCAGGAATAGGTTTTCATCACGACTAAGTTAAGGGGGAGTCATGACGAAAGGCGTTAGGTGAGTAAGAGTTCCTTTCGGGAAAAAGTGATCGCCGCTACAAAATGGACTTTTGGCCGCAACGAGCTTGGTCTCTCGATTAGAAAATCCCTCTCGGGATTAGTTAGTCGCAACCAATCACTAGGTTCGCCGCGACGAAAAGGTCGCGTCTTTAAATCCAGAGGAAGGGTCTGATGTGCGAAAAATAGAAAATCTGAAGGAGGGAAATAATGCTCTGTTAGGGCTTTGCGTTTTTGGCTTGGGGAAGGTGTTTCTAAGGGTCCATTGCCTCAAATAAGTGAATTTAACCCCTAATCTACTCTTTCTCTTGGGATTTTTGAGGATTTTATAAAGGAATTCTAGGGCTTTCTAGTTTCTGATAGAATTGAGGTTTTTGACTAATTGTTTTGAGTTTAAATGATTGTTATGGGCTAGTCTAAGTATTTAATCGGTGTAGTTTTCTTGAATTTGGAGATTTGGAAGTTTTGGGAATTTGGGGTTTGTGAAAGTGAAGGTTTATGATTGAGGATGATAATGTAGTAGTTGAAATTGAGTTTTGCGAATTGGGTTATGTTAAGAAAGGTTAAATTGGATGTTTAATCGGTTTAGAATGTTAGTAAGACTTGATTTTGCTCTAATTAGATGTTTGGGTGATGAATTTCTAGAGTAGGACTTGAGTTTCTAAATTTAATTGAGGTTTTGGAAGGAAAGCTAGAGTTTTAATGGTCTCTTGTGGTTTTGGGATGTTATTGTGATGATTTTGGCCCTTGTGAGTTGGGTAGAGTTTTGGTTGAGGCTAGGAATTTTGAGTCCCCAATTGTTGTGTTGACCATTTTATTAGTTTGAAAGCTAATAATTGATGGTTG